GATCTGCCTGTTCTGCTCCCCACTCTGTCTCTGGTGAAGCCTCTCACTCTCTGCATCTCTGGCCTGTACCCCAGTTCTGTATGAATAAATAAATTAATTAATTAAAAAAAAAAAAAACCAGACATCCCATCCAAAAACCTCAATCCTCATAAAAGATAGGGCGCAAACTCTCTGCATCTCTGGCCTGTACCCCAGTTCTGTATGAATAAATAAATTAATTAATTAAAAAAAAAAAAAGCCAGACATCCCATCCAAAAACCTCAATCCTCATAAAAGATAGGGCGCAACCTCTCTTTCAACCTTATCTTTCAGTACTTTGCATCTAGCCGGTGGCTGAGTTTTGCCCTGCCCTTGGCCTTGACTGCGGTGTGCCTTCTGCCTCTCCATCGCTTGACATCTCCTGCTTCTTGCAAGGCCTGGCTCCAAGCCAACTCACTCTCTGTAGCTCCGACCCCCTCCTCAGCCCCAGCAGAAGTGACCTTTCACACCCGTCAATCCTCACTGCTCTTTTCCTTCTTTATAAACCAGACAAGCCACCCCACGTGGGCTCCATGTGGGTGCCATGCTCCAGGAGTGCCCACCCACAGCCTCCAGTGCGGCTGGTGCTTGTCTGTTTACTATCTGTGAAGAAGTGAAAGGATGCTGGTCAAGAATCACCACAGTGGGAAGTGACTGCTGGCTGGGAAGGGCCTGTTCTTGCACCAGATTCTCTGGTCTTCCCACGGTGGAGCAGTCACAGTTCAGGGTGTTTTCCTCTGCACTTCCTGGGCCCCAATTCTCCCTCTTGAGTACATGGACCGGATCTAATTGGACCTCTCTCTCACTCTGCCATCCACAGTCTGAAATAAGCCCATCACACTTTTCCAGCTCAGCTCCAGGACACCCGTCTGCCTTCTACCTCTGTGGTGGCCGAGAGACACTCACGTTCGGGGATGGAAGCGTTGTGAAGGTTGTTCCCTGCGAGGCGGGCCTGGAAGGCAGAACTGAAGAAGCCGTCTCCGGGACCACTGCGGGAGTGGGGGAGCAGAAGAGCACCAAGTCAGAGGCGCGAAACGGTGACCTCCAGGCGTCTGAGGAGCAGCAGTGTGCAGCACTGTGCAGCAGCAGTGGCAGCGTGGAGCCACGGGCGGGACAGCAGATGGCGGCAGAGAAACCAGAGTCTGAACCCGACTGGGTCCCTTACTAGCCGGTGACCGTCAGAACACACCGAACCCTGCACTGGCTCAGTTACTCACTTGTAAACTAAGAATTTTTTGAACGATCAAAAGAACTAGGAAATGATTTGAGTAAATGAAATCATGTATACATGGACGCATGTGCAACATAACACGAGTGGAACAGATCCGGGACTGGGCTGCTGCTCTTTAAAAGGGAGAGGCTGTGGAGAGGCCGCTACGGCCAGCCTAGCTCCACCTGCCTGGGGGCCCAGCCCTTAAGCACAAGGTTTAGGCATAAGGGCAATGTGGGTCTGAGAGGCTGTCCTCTTCCTTTGGGCCGAGGTGCTGGCCTTTCTGAGTCCTCTGGATTACTCTAGTAATAGAAGACAGTAGGAAACAAAGAGGGGAAAGCTTGGGCCCCTCCACCATTGTCCCAACACAGACACAAGCGATCAGGCCCACCCACAACACAGAGGCAGGAGGACCAGAAGGATGCTGGGAAGGCTCGGGCTGTACCTTTTATTCAGCACCGTGAAGTGCACGGCGTAAGTGGCCATGTAGAGAGCCAGGGGCAGCACGATGAGGCACAGGACGCGAGCAGTCAGGTGCTTCCCCAAGGTCACCTGCAGACGCGGCGGCACAGGGCGCTGTGTTACTCCTTACAGCTGATGTCACATTATATGTAAGGTTTTACACATAAGACACAATCATAAAAAAATTAAAAAGCTAGTGGCCAGCAAGAAAGAACAGTATATGGAAACCTCAAGCCTTCCCCTAGCAGCCCAGCACCACACACTGCCGGGGTCACGGAGGCTCCTCCGCACCCCTGTCCAGACCCTCCCCACCCCAGGCCTGACGCCACTGCACTCCCAGCCCTGTCCCGCCTCAGTCACTGTACACCTCGCTCCCTGCCTTTCCCCCGAGCCTCTGGCTGGTCAGCTTCCCACCATAAACACGCCTGCTCCTGTTCTCAACCCCAAGCTTCAGCTTCCTCCCAGAAGCCTTCCTGCCTCTCCAGAGACTGGCCGGAGCCTTCCTCCGTGCTCTCACTGCACCCGCTGGCTGCACCGTAAGGGGCAGCTTAGTTATGACCTCTCCTCCCACTGTCTCCACGGGCAGAGCTCTTGTCTTATGCATCTTCCCATTTTGCATCTCACGCTTAGTGAACGGTCTGCCTGTATGTTCTGAGTGAACGAGGGGATGTGATGCGGCAGCATTATAAAGCAAAACAGCCCAGGCCGGGAATTGCCCTAAATCTACCTCTTACTGCCTGTATGACCTTGGGGGTGTTATTACTTCCCCAGGTCTTGATTTCCTCATTTGTAAAGAGAGGTAACAAATGAGGAATGAATAAGTATAATGATAAGTATGATAATGATAATGAGAGTAAAGCATTTCATATAAAGCCTGATTTAGAATCAGTTCTTAAACAGTGCTGTAATAAACCCTAAAGGTCCTTACTGACCTCCAAGTCTCAGGAGCCTTGAAAAAAGAGAACTGTGCACTCAAGTCATCTCACCCACCTCACCCACTGCCCAAGCAGTGCATGTTGTCACATGTTTGTCATGAGCCCGGCGGGCAGAAACCCTGGGCAGTTTACAGAGCATTTTAAGAACAAGAGGAAATAAATGCCAAGAGTGTTAGTCCCTCCCCTCCTTCACCTGTCCAGTCCCCAGCGGTGGCCCACTCCCTGTGGTCATGCTGCCCAGAGCATGCAGCCAAACCCAGGCCACCTCAGACCCAAACTCGGCCACTCAGCTGCCGCAGCGAAGGTAGAGAAAGGCCGCGGGCTCTGGAGCAAGGTGCTTTTACAAGCACTTGGGTTCTCACCAGTGAAAGACTGAGGTCTCCGAACAGCTGCCAAAGGTCTGACACAGTGTTCCAACCCACTTGCAGGATGATAAAGAGGCCAACAAACTTGACCCCTAAAGCACCAGCCAGATTAATGCCAGTCAGGCTGAGCCAGAACCACCAGGGGGCAGAGAAGGGCCTGAAAAACCAACAAGACACAGTTCAGTGCGGCTGGAACCAAACTCAAAGGCATGAACAAGGGAGGGACCGAGAGGCTCCCCAACCTCAGGGGGCCGTGACTTGGCTCAGGAGTCCGCGGTGCGCGACACACCGGAAGCTGCAGGAAGCAGGTGAGAATGCGTGCTTCTGGAGAGGGACCACAGCTTTCCTGGCCAAGCACACACTTACAGAAGGCAAGGCCTTACGCCTCAGTGACCAAGTGGAAGGAAAAGGAAATCCAGAGAAGTCGCTAGATTCAGTCAGTTCTCTCCGGTGTCACTTGGACCTCACAACATGCCAGCATTTACCGAGTGCTTACTCTGTGTCAGGCACCTTTCCAGGCACTTACACATATGACCTCTTCACACTGACCACCACCCCTTGAAGCAGGTTCTCTCACTATCCTCTTCTTAACATGAAGAAGTTAAATACAGAGAGGTAAGTAATACAGCTGGCAAGCGTGGGACCTGGCACAAGCCCTGGCACTCGGCGCCAAGGCCAACTGCACGCAGAGCAGCAAGTCCATGGTGCTGCTGTTGTGTTTACCCGCCTGCCTCTGGGCAGGGTGAATGCTTCTCCCCAGTCTTGTCCAAAACGTCCCATTTCTGTACCTCCAGCTCTTAGCACAGTGCCTGACACACAGCATGCATTCAAGAAATGGCTGGTGGAAGTAAGTGGGTGAGACAGAAATAAAAGATAGCCCAAAGGTGGAGAGAGCTGGTGGTCACTGGGTCAGGTTTGACTGGCACAATGTAGTTTAATAAGCTTCCCAGAAGCTGACTTCTGGGAAAGCCTAAAAGGAGGCAGCTCTTTTGGCATCTACCAAATGAATGACCTATTCTGCTCTCTCAGAGAATGATATGGAAAAAACTACAGAACAGTTTTAGAACAAACAAGAGCCTCAGGGGGCTCCCTGGTGGTGCAACAGTTTAAAGCACGGCATTATGAAGCACTCCAAAGCCACTGCAGAACGAGTTTGATCCCCAGCCTCGGAGGTGACCCACATGGCGTGGCAGACCTCTCCTGTTCCACCCACTGCTCCCCTCAGCAGTGTACTTTGTCAATCTGCCTGTTCTGCTCCCCGCTCTGTCTCTAGTGAATCCTCTCACCCACCACACCTCTGACCTGTACCTGAGTTCTGTAAGCATGAATAAATAAATTTTTTTTAAAAAGAACCTCAAGGATCTTTTGGATCGGATGGAACATTCAAGCCAACCTTGACAGACATTATTTCCATCAGCAGGGCTAGAGATTACCACTGAGGACAGGGGGACAATCTGTTCCCAGTCAGCCTCTGCCCTGTGGCCTCCCTTCTGGGATGGAGAATTCGAAGCACATGGTTGCCCCAGGATCTCCTCACCAGCATCTGTGCTGATTGGTGGCATGGAGACTGATGGGTGGGAGAAAGTTCCCCTGTATAATATCCACATCCTCCTACCCAAACCAACCCCATTTTAAAACTAATGCTACTCTTGAAAAAGACAACAGATATTTTCTTAGCCTCATATAAAGCTAAGTTTTATGTATTTGTAGAAAACTTTTCAAAATCTATTTTAATCAGCTAAAATGCATGACCTAAGTTAAAACCAAAAATTATTCTTGCCTTAAACTCAGCTTTAACATAAATATCTAGACACCCACCCTGTCCCTGGCCATTATGGAAATCCTGGACGGTTCCCCCCCCGCCACCCTTGCCAGTCCCCCAAGATGGTGTCTCTGACCTGTCAGCGCAGGAGTTGTACTTGACCATGCTCAGCATGGCCGCCATGATGAAGAACATCAAGATGGGGTCAAGGAGGATGTACTGGGACAGAGTGAGGCATCCTGTGTCTGAAAAACATGAGCTCAATGGTCAAAGAGCAGAATCAGAGATGAGTCTCCCGGAGAACTAAATACCCCAGCAGTAAGAAACAACTTTGGGGTACAATAATAGCCCCGTGACAAGAAAGATCTCGCAATGCTTCTAGGTCCTTGACCCAAAAAGAATCATCAATCACTCAGAGAAGTCCTGAGACAGGGTTATTCTCACTTCCATCACCAAAAAGGGGGGTCCACCACCCCAACATGGGTTATAAACACCCTCCACCAGGACATTTCACATGACGTCTCTGTTGGGAGTTGATTCTCCATAAAAGTGCCAAAGTGATTTTTTTTAAGCAAATTTCAATTCAGTACGTGGTGCTTAAGCCCTCCAAGTCTCCCCATTTCGTGCAGACTGACGAGCTGCGGAGTCGCCTCCCTGCCTACTCACCCTGCTCCCCACACTCTCTCACGCCAGCCCAGCATCACTGACCCCTTGCTGTCCCCAGAAGCCACCAGGGACAGCTTGTACAGGCCCTGTGCTGCTGTCCTCCCCCTGAGCACTGTCCCTGGGTCTCTGCAGGCTCAATCTTTTCCATTACTCGGGTCTCCCCACCTCCAGTGACCTCAGGAGCACCGCATCGACCACCCTAATCTGACTTGCTCCCATCATTCTACCCCTCACCCTACTCTAGTTTTGACATAGCACTTATGGCTTAAGATGTTACATTACACTTATTAATTAACTCAATTATTTATTGTCTGCCACACCAGTATGTGCAGCAACCATGAAAGCACGGTGTCTCGCCAGGGCATACTTTGAAGCCAAGAAATGTGACCTGGCACAGGGTAGATGCTTGAAAAATAGTTGAATAAAAAATGAACAGATGACTGAATGGATGAAGAACTGAAGAAAATTAAAGGCACACGGGCAAAGCCACCAAGCAGTCCCTACAACATATCTGTCAAGATGAAGCTAGAATCACCCCAAGATACCCATTTAGTTGGTCTGGACTGCTTCAAATATTAAGGCTCTCTGGAGTCAGGCATTCACTGTCATAAGAACAAGGATCACAGAGGATCAACTCTCACGTCCCCAAGAAGGCTCAACCACAGTCAATGTTCATACATCCCATTCTGCTATCCCCACCGCCCAGCTTCTTCTGGGGCATCTGTCCTTGTATTCAGCGCAAATTAATTTAAGGAATCACACTAATCTTGATGATAACCTAAGAGAAGCAAAATCAAAATTGTAAGCTTCCTCCCTGCCACCCATCACATGTGTGTACACACATACAAATTTACCTTTTTATCTATTCCAAAACCAAATATGGGTAACTCAGTGATAAACTACTCCTTGGGATCACCCAAGTCAACTCTGCCCTCCAGTAATATAAAAACTTGCTACATGCATTCACACGCAACACACATCAGTGTGACTGGGGTATGAAATAAGGTGTATAACACATTTCCCCGATCCTAAGTCCCTTGAGAACTGAGCCCATGGACAGAACCTGGAATATACTGAGTTTCAGCTACTTTCACGGTGCAGAGTGAGCCAGCAAGAAGCATGGGCTAAATTAACCTACCAAAGATGAGGAGGGCAGCCGCCAGCAGTGCTGCCGGGAGCGACCTGGACAGCTCCAGCACTGTCAGGTAGGCAAAGGGCACCAGCAAGGAACCAAGACACGCACAAAACTGTGGGAGGAAAAGAGTCAGTCAGTCCAATCACTGGTTAAGCTAATTATCTCACTGCAAGCTAACATTCAGGATAGAGGCCCTGAGGAAAGCATGACTTGGTGGCCTAAAGTCACCTAAAATAGTGTAAATAAAAAGGTGGTATTAAAACAGCGTCAGCTCGGGCCCTCCCTGGTGGCGCAGCGGGTTAAAGCACAGCACTGAGAAACTAAAGCCACTTCCGCATGAGTTCGATTCCCGCCTGCCCCGGAGGTGACCACATGGCGTGGCAGACCTCTCCTGGCCCGCCCGCTGCTCCCCTCAGCAGTGTACTTCGTAGATCTGCCTGTTCTGCTCCCCATTCTGTCTCTGGTGAAGCCTCTCACCGCCCCTGAGCCTCTGGCCTATACCCCAGTTCTGTATGTACAAATAAATAAATCTTTAAAAAAAAAAAAAAAAAAAAAACAGCGTCAGCTCAAACAACTTGTGCCCTGACATGAACCCAGCAAAGTTCAGCCAGGAAGGTGTGAGCAGAACAACACAGTGGCTTCAAGTGGGGGGCTCTGGGGCTGTACTGCCCGCCCCCATCAATTCTGGCTGTGACCTTGAGCAAGTCACAACTCTCGTAATGACAGCCTTCCCATCTGTCAAACGTGAAAAATAATGAATTCCCAACTCACAGGCTCCACTCTAAATGAGCTAAGGTTTTAAGGTTTTATTACACAGAGTAAGTATTTGATAAATCCAGCTTCTATTAAGAAATGGTGCATACAAGTTGAGAAAGACATCTCCGAAGGGATTTCACAATTTCAGAGAATTCTTATGTTATTTCTCCCAAGGCTTTCTTCAACCACACCAGAAGTCACTCTTCAACCTGGAGATTATATTCTGGTTTTGAAAAAGACTGCCTGACATGTCAGTATCTGGAATGCTTTGTTTTAAACCACCAGCTTCCTCGCCATGCCTCTACTCTGCTCATCAAAACTAAATAGACAAGCCCAGAAATGGAAATTCTCACAATTGGGCTGTCACTTTTTGTCAACGGAAAGCAATGTGTCCCAGGGTGAAAGGGAACGCGGGTGCTCTACTTGGCCTTCTCAGCCACAGCAAATCCAGCTCATATCCAATTATGTGTGCTATGAGATAGCCCAATGTCATTACAAAGACAAAGAGCCTCTTATGGGCTTGATATGGGCTTGATAGGGGACACTCCTTGTTTAACATGGTGTGATATGATCATGCGAATCACTTGAGGATTAGCTCAAGTAAGGACAGAGCACTTATCTAACATGCTTTGCGATCCTCACAGAAGGCTCTGTCACCGCAGGCTGCTCTGAGACACCATGTTGAAAGTCAGATGCTCTGGTTTAATTTAGTAGGGGTCCCTACAGAGTTGGGTATTCAGCATGTTATGTTTCAGCAAGGCTGGCGTTGAGAATCAGAGCAAACATATGACCTCTCTTAACAGACTGGAAAACCCCTAGTGTGTGCTCCAAACTGTCCAAGGGTAAAAAGGAACCACTGGCCAATGTTGGGGCTGGAGACAAATCCTGGTTACGGAGGTCCCAGGCTGCTTTCCAACCTGAAGTCTGCAGCCTCACGTGGGCAGGTAACAGGTGATGGGAGCGGGGCGGAGGGTTTGCCCCAGTCTCACTCTTACCTGTGACCTTGCCTTCCCTTCTTACCCACCCCAGTTCTGAATTTCTCCACAGGGTGTGGATCCAGTCATCCTCCCCTCTCCCCTACCCCAAAGTCCTTTTCTCTACACCTGCCACTTATCCTAGGCTTCCAACTGTTAACATTTCTGAGAGAATGTGAACCCAGAGTTCGGTCAGGCCAGATCAAGTCAGGAAGTCTTACTCCTCTCATTCCCAAGTAGCTGTGATGTTCATATTTGTCCCCAGGCTTCTGGAACAAAAAGGTGCCATCATATCCACTCAGGTAACCGGCAAGGCCTATGAGCATCTGAGGGGAGGAGACAAAACATAAAAGAACATTGAGGGAAGATTCCTTCATTCCCCTAACATCCCTCCAGCTGCACCCAAACTGGTTTCCCCTGACAACTGTCCAGAGAAATAGTGGCCAGTGTGACATTTCCTCTAGCAGCTGTTACAGAGTAAAGAATCTTTTGTCTATAGAGCTCACGCTTGAAACAAATCCTCTCCTGTTTCAAGGCCAACTTCTTAGAAGCAGTATAGACTACACACTTAGGAAGAAAAAAAATCTCACAATGTGAAGGGCAGGGCCAGTGAGGGGCTGTCTCAGTCAGCCTTGTTTTCACAGCCATGACGCAAACACCCTGGAGGCGAGAGGCTGCTTCCTGGGAGATGGCTACTGAGAAACAAGAGTGGGCCCAAGTCAGAAGAAAGAGGGAGAAAAGTGACCAAGGCAGACAGTGGGAAAGAGGAATCAAAGATAGGTGCATTTCCCGGGAAGAAAGATTCACCTCCCAATAGAAAAAAGGCCCCAAGATCAGGCACTGGTTTCTATTTCCAATATTTCAAAGGCAGACAAACGTGGCCTATTGCAAATCAGAGCAAACCAACTATAAACGAAGATTGTGAGTACTGAATTCTTCACTATTTGCGGGGGTCAGTCTCTTCACTTATATCTTTCCTTGGTCGAAGCAACTATCAGCAAAAACCAAGTATCTGTGAGAACCACAGATTGTGCCATCCTGACCCCTGTGCTGCTTAGACGGTGAACAGGGACAGGATATGCTGGCTGTGTTGGCAAAAGCCCTCCTGGCCAGGGGAGCCCGGATCTGGAGGGAGCACTAACCAGCTCACTTATTTCTCTAAGCAGTTGTAACCTGAGTCGTTCATGGCATAAAAGTCAAAGTTCAGCAACAAATGATTATAAACCCTGTGTTTAAAAAAGGGGCAGGGGTAGGGATACCAGGATCCAGAAGTCGATGTAATGTCATTTTTATTTTAATTAATTTTTTTTTTTTACAAGAGCTGGGCTGTAGGCCAGAGGTATGTGGAGTAAGAGGATTCACCAGAGACAGAGTGGGGACCAGAGCAGGCGGATCTACTGACATACACTGCTGAGGGGAGCAGCAGGCGAGACAGGAGAGGTCTGCTGCGCCATGTGGGTCAGCTTCCTGGCCGAGGATCGAACTCAGGCAATCATTACAGCATTGAGACTTAACCCACAGGACCTATATATGTTTTTAAATATAAAATAAGGTCTTAAAAAGACAGAGCCATCCAAATGCCTAGAGGAACTAAAACTGCCAGGTGACAATGCAATGGATGCTCCCTCCTAGAGGCCTCTCAGAGGACAAACTGCCTGGTTTGGGTACAGATTCCCAGGCCCAGGCAAGTGAGAGTAAAGGCACGCTGGACAAGTGGGGTCCCAGCACCCTACACTCTAGCTCTCTGGCTGTGGGCCATATTTAATGTTGCTAAAATGCCATAATAACTCCTCCTTGCCAGGGCTTGTGAGGCCTAGAGGAGGTACTCTAGTAAAACACGGAGCAATATGCACTCAAAATTCAGTTTCCATTTATTGAGATTAAAAAAAAAATCAAATAAATAAATAAAAACTCAGCTTCCTTTCAATTTTCTTAAGGTTAAAATTAGCCTCGAGCTATTTTCCTAAAAACTCATTCAAATCAATAAGAAAAAGGACAACCTACTAGAAAAGAATGGAAATAACATGAAAAAAATATGTCCAACCTAAGTCATCAAGATACACAAATTAAAACAATGACAGATCAGGATTAGGCTCTCAAATTGGCAAATTTTGGAAAGTACCGTGATTAGGCCAGTGCAGTGAAGCAGGCCCCTCATATGCTGCGGGTGAGAGTAAATGTTTTATATTTCTGTGGCAGAACTTATATCTAACACAAACTGAAAGGGCCATATCCTTTGACCCTTCAGCTTGGTTGCTGAGAATCTTTTAGCTATGCCACCATAATCAAGAAGAGCTAAGTGTACTTATTGTAATTTTACTTATTGTAATATCTCTGGAAATAACACAAATACCCACCAACTGAAGAGGGGCAAAATAACTTATGGCACATCTGCATGATTTGATTCTACATAGCTGTTGAAAAGAAGGAATGGGCTAATAAGGAAAAAGCCAAGATCCAGCAAGTTGAAAATACAAATTGCTGAGCTATTTTAGTCTGATATCGTTTTGTATAAATGATATGTTGTTCATATGTATGCATATAAATATCTATAGCTATATTTCTGTTAACAATTTTTGAGAGGATATATTAAGAAACTTAGCAAAGGTGGCCATGGTTACCTCTGAGGAATGGGGGGAAAGCAGATTTTGACCTTTCCTTCCTAAGTATTTTACTGTGTGCTGGCATTTTTCTTTTTTTTTTTCTTAAAGATTTATTTATTTATTCATACAGAACTGGGGTACAGGCCAGAGATGCAGAGGGTGAGAGGCTTCACCAGAGACAGAGTGGGGAACAGAACAGGCAGATCGACAAAGTACACTGCTGAGGGGAGCAGCGGGCGGGTCAGGAGAGGTCTGCCGTGCCATGTGGGTCAGCTCCGGGGCAGGCGGGGATCGAACTCATGCGGAAGTGGCTTAAGTTTCTTAGTGCAATGCTTTAACCCGTTGCGCCACCAGGGAGGGCCCTTTATTTCTATTTTTAAAAGCACCTTTCTTACTGGGACCTGGAGTAAGAAAGGAGGGAGGCATGTTTATTGCTGCTTTATTAACAATTGGAAAGACATGGAGTCAACCAAAATGCCCAAAAGTGGGTGACTGGATTAAAAAGATGTGGTACATATACACAGTGGATTATTACTCAGCAAACAACAAAAAAAATAAACACATGTCTTTTGCAACAACATGGATGGAGCTGGAAAAGATCATGCTTAGTGAAATAAGCCAGAAATACAAAGAATAACACTGGGAGGTTTCAATCATTGTATCAGATAAAGAACCAGGCGAGAAAGTAATAATAATGAACAGTTATATACCAGAGACAATTTATGGGGGTGGCATGGGGAATGGGATCAAAAATAGTGGGGGGAGGGAAATGCATTGGACTATGGTGATGGCACATGGGTGATCTGATGATGGGAAGTCCACAGGGATTACAACTGAGATGGAAAAATGCACAAAATGATGTAAAAATATACTATTATTAAAAAAAAAGAAAAGAAAACACAGGCGGGAAGTCAATGCAAAGTAGTAGCTATTAGCCTCAGTCCTGGAGGAAAAACCTCCCACTTAGCAGTTTCAAGTGTTTTCAATTCCTTGACTGGCTTGGCCTCAGAACCTAGGTAAGCTGCCTTGCTCCCTCTCCCAATTTCCCCATCTACTCATCATTCACTTTCAAGCATCAGGAGAGAAACTGAGGGCAGATGGGCCATACTCCCTGAAGGTAACCTTAAAAAGAAGCCTCACATTTCCCCTTTTGGACAGAGGCCAGATCTGACGAAGGGAAGGCTTAGAAGGGAAGGCTTAAGTAAAGACAGACTGGCCAGTGTTTTCCAAATACATCTCTGTGCTGAGCAACAGGGGGCTCCGAAAACCGGCAGGCAAGCCCCCGGCTCAAAGACTGGGCTGGGCTTCCCATGAGAAATCTCCCCAGAGGTCAGCCCAAGGCCAGTGTTCAGGGCACTCTGCTTACTGGTTCCATGACAGTGTCAGATGTGGTCCCAGTGCTGGGCAAGTTCATGATGTGGCCTCCTGGCTAAGAGAGCAGAGTCTATGAGGTCTGAACCTTGATACTGCCACTTACTATACCGTTCCCAAAGCAAAGTACCATCCTTTCTGTTCCCAGTTTCCCCATATGAAAAATGAGAATACAACAGTTGGGAATAAAAAAAGTCATAGTGTTGTTCTGCTACTATATAAGATAATGTGTCTAAACTAACCAAACAGACCAAATTTTCAATTGCTTTATGTTTATTATTGTTACCTTATAAAGGAGATAGGAACAGGCATACAATTTTACTCCTCCCTGGGGCACAGGCCCTCCATTTCTCAAATAGGCCCCATATCCCTCTCCCCATCCTCCCCTCACCTGTAGGGGGTTCCTCCCTGGTCCTCTCCATGTGCTCTGGTGCTTCCCTAAACCCACCTGTCACAGATGGCAATCCCACCTCCCCTGCCTCACCCCATTACTCCAGGTTCCAGACCCACTTCTCCACTTCAGGAAGAGACAATTTCCTGTCCCCTTATTTGCAAAGACCTCAGCCTACAATTAGGAAAAAAGGACTGAGTGAACAGGGCTGATTCATTAGCCTTCTCAAAGGTGTTTGTTTTTAAGAGTGAAATGAATTCTGATGGTAGAATTCTAATTATCAAGGAATAAGGAGTAAGCTGGGAATGGGGAGGGGAAAGGAGTTTTGTTTCCTGGTAGAAAATTAGCTTCCTGTAGCTATTTCTGCTATTCCTTCTCTCTGTTTCTTTTTTCAACTGAAATAAAAATCACATACTATAAAATTTACCATTTTAAGATGTAGAATCCAGTGGTTTTTACATGCACAAGGTTATGTGGCGATCACCACTACCTAATACTAGGACAATTCATCACCCCAAAAAGAAACTCTAAACCCATCTACATTCACTGCTCAATCTCACCTCCTTCCAAACCCAGGCAACCACTCATCTATTTTCTGTCGCTCTGGATTTGCCAATTCTGGATATTTCTTACACAGAAACAAAGTCACATAATTGTGACATCTTTTTGACTCCTGTCACTTAGGATAACGATTCCAAGATTCATCCACGCTGCAGCATATGTCAGTACCTCACCCCAAATATGATTATGGCCAAATCATATTTAAGTGTATAGATGTTCCACATTTTGTTCACTCATCCATCAGCTGATGAATTCTTTGTCCATTTCTAAGCCCACAGGACTCCTAAAAATACCCAGGATTCCAGAAAGCAGCTGGTCTGGAATGTTCTCCAAGCCTAAAAATTAGATCCAAACCCAGACTTGGGCCCTCGGAGGCTGGTTTGTCTGCCACGCTGCTCACCTTTCCCAGAGGTGGGTGCACATCAAAGAAAAAGGTGCGGTTGATATAGTAACTTCCCATTTTTCCAAAGTGAGTTTCATCCCAGCTAAAGGAAAAGGAAAAAGAGAAATAGGAAATTTTTAATTACCATGAAACCCAAACAGCTTTAATAAAGCATGGTTAAAATTAGAGCTAAGAATACAGGCTATGAGCTTCAAGCAATTAATGGGAATATTTGTATTTTAAAAAAAAAA